TAAATTCCGCACCAAAGACGGAAAAGGAATTCCGCACTAACATCAAGCCGGAGATGAAATTCCGCACCAAAACCGAGCACCGAAGTTCCGCATCCCCGGAAGGAACTACGAAAGACCTGATTCTCCCATCCCGAAGAGTTCTTTGGAGATACGTAGGCAAAGCCGCAAAGGCACGGTCCAACATAAGTTGGCATCATAAAAAAGCATTTTTCTCTTTGCAATATAAAAAATTAAAAAAGAAGAGAAGAAAAGAAAAATAAAAGCTGGAGTTGAAAATCCGCGAAAGGACAGCTTCAGGCAAGATAATTGAGCCCGCTAGACTGAAAACCCGAAAGGGCGGTCTAAGGCAAAAGTTAGGGCAAAGAGCCTGCTAAGAGTCGAACCCTGAAAAGGGCGGCTACTAGGCAAAAGTTTAAGGGAAAAAAAAAAAAAAAAAAAAAAAAAAAAAAAAAAAAAAACAACAAAAAAGTGCTTTTCATTGAATTCTTTTAGAAAGTCCATTTTTGTAGGATAAACAAGCAAAGTATGTCCTTAAAGAAAAAAAAAATCCCTTTCAAGGTCTCCTTGGGAGTATATAATCATTTTTTCCAGGCAATCACTGAGTTCCTTGAGTCAAAAATTCACTACAAGAAAAATTTTGAGTTTCTAAATCGAGTCTCCAAATGAGTCTCTAAAATCAAGTCTCCAATCACCAGTGGCACTCCAAACGAGTCATAAAACTCAAATCATCCTCAAAAGTTCCGTTTTGAAAGCGTCACTCTTTGAGTCATTCCTGAAAAAAGAGAGAGAGGAAAAATGTCAATTCAAATCCCCGGGGTTTCCAAAACAACCCTAAAAAATGTTCAAACATAAATCGTTGAGAAGGTAATGTCAAACATTAATCATTGAGAGGTAAATTCTTTAAATTACCTCGTCTCCACCTCGGACCATCGTTTTCCTTCGATCCTTTCAGACGAGCGATGTCAATCCACATTGTCCGTTTCCTTCGAGTCATATAAGTGGCTTTGCCTCTTCTTTGGATTCCTCAATCGATTGGACAGTACAACACCAATGTTTTGAAGTTATTCCATGGTCAGCACCATTCCTGGGGGCAAGAAGTGATAAGAACCTTCAACCATTTCTCCATCAACAGAAGTAATCAACGGATTTTTTTAGTCTTTCATTAAGAAGAAATTCTATTTCAGCTAATAAGGGCATCAATTCTCTCAAGCAGGGCGCCAAATCCTCCAAAGTCGGATTCAGGGGCAAAATGTTATAAAAAAAATCGTACACAACCTCAGGGTGGAAGCCCAACCAATCGTCAATATCTTTTACACAAACCCAGGGTAGAATCCCAGTTTTAATGGTTAACCTTTTTTTTTTAACATAAAACCTAGGGTGAACCCTAACCTAATAGCCAACCTTTTTTTTTCATCCAAAACCAGCCAATTGATCATTTCGGCTTTAGGGTGGACCCTTGGTTCTCAAAGAAAAAAAAAAAACAAAAATAAAAACAAATCCTCTTTTTTAAGCCTCCATTAAGAGGCAAACTCTTTTCAAGCCCTCATTAAGAGCCCAAAAACATCTTTCAAAATCCTCCTAAGAGGCAAAATCTCTTTTTCAAGTCCCTCATTAAAGAGGCAAAACATCTTTTCAAGCCTGCATTAAGAGGCAAAACATCTTTTCAGACCTCTAAAGAGGCAAAATCTCTTTTCAACAGCCCTCATTAAGAGGCAAAATTCTCTTTTCAAGTCCTCATTAAGGAGGCAAAATCTCTTTCAAGCCCTCATTAGAGGCCAAAACATCTTTAAAAGTTGCAAACATAATCCATGATTTGATCATTTTATTTCAAAAGAAAAAAAAAACCCCAACAGGCGGGGGTTTCCTCCTCTGCCCATCCTCACTCCAAATTTGCTCCTTCAGACAGCCACTGCTCTCATAAATCATTTTTATGATAGCCAGTGGGGGGCAACTGTGAATACTGAAATCCAAATTTTGAAGGCTCAAAAAGGCCAGTTTTTCCCCGGACCTGCAAAATAGTCGGACTGGACCGGAGCCCATTTTTGAAATTTACCCGAAAGTATGCCAATATCGGTACTTAAAACGTCCGGACCGTCGCGAGGATCGCGGAAACTAGTCCCAAAATAATTTTTTGGAGGTCCGAGAACTCTCGAAAAAGCCTCCAGAACGAAAAATTCAGCAAAACCGCCGGCCTCGGTGGCTCGGGCCGCCGACACGGCGGCTTTTGCTTGCGCCGGAGCCCGCGGCCCAGGCCACCCAACAGTCCCATTTTTTGCCTATAATTGGCCCCGATGTCTTTCATTTTCAAACTCTACTTAGTCCTGTAGTTTGACGGAACGCTTCCTTTTCCCCTAGCTTCCTTGCGATTCTTTTACCTGCTTTTTCCTGCATTTTTATTTTAGCTTTTATTGCTTTCTTTACTTGATATTTGGCCACTTAAAATTAAATTAATTCTAAATTTAATATCCCCCCCAAACGAGGAAGCTTTAATCCGGAGTTTTTCCAAGCTGAGCTAAGCAGCGGTCGCTCGTTAACTGAGGTAAATAAATAAAACTCTGCTCATTTAATTTTAGCCACTTCATGCATATTTTCTTCTACTCCTAATATAACTCTACAATTGCATAAACGCATTCCAAAGTCTATCAATTTAGGCAAATAAACTGGCTCAATCAAATATGATTATAGCTTAAATACCGGTTAATTAATAATCGTGTATTAATGCTAAATCCCCGACAATATTGGCTAAAAAGTCTAGTTAATTAAATACTACGGTTTAATTGCCTTTATTCAAACAGTCAGGCTTAAGTCCAATTAATCAAATAATTGTTGGGCTAAGAAGCCTTAATCAAATCACGTTTTTCGGCAACAAATTGCCTTACAGTTTAAATCAATCATTTTGGCAACAAAATTGCTAAATTACACTCAATTTTTGGGCAAGACGCCTTAATTAATCAATCTTTTTGGGCATAATTGTCGTAAATCAATCATTTGGGCACAATAAGCCCAAATCAAAACACTTTCTTTTTGGCAATCGACAATAAGCCCAATCAATAACACTTCCTTTTGGAACAAACGCCTCAACAAATCAATCAACCTTTTTGGGCAAAAATGCCTAAACAAAATGCCGAAGCATACACACACTCAAGCATAAAGCATACCCATTCAAAGCCCACTTTTAAAAGGCCTATCGAACTACGTTGACCTTTGATCTTCCATTCCAAACGGAAGTACGTAGGCAACGTTCGGGATTTAACCCGCGGGCGGCAAGTCGAAATCAACATAAACATTTCAAATTGGTCCATTACTTCATTCACCTGGCAAGCATTTTTCATTCAATCGGTTTAGTTCATCAGCATGACATGGTCTCGGGGATCCATCTCGGTTCGTAGATCGTGCCTTAAACAATTGGGATAGTTTTAATCTACAATTAGGTTAATTAAGAATTGGAGTCACTTAGGGTTTTTTCCTAGTTTACCCTAAAATAATTAACCAGGTGGCGACTCATACATTCAAAATGTGCCATTTCTCACCCTTAGTCATATGCAGACTCATACATTCACGTGCATTTCTACCCTTAGTCATATGCATTCATATGCCTGTGTTCTCGGGGGAGGGGTTCACAAGAGTACCTAGCATTATAACCACTCAGTTCGATTAAGGTAATCTATTTACTGTCGGCTCTAAAATCCTTAGGGATAGTCTTTTAGGCACCCTTTGTAGGAAACCCAAAGATATGGCTAACCTCATCTAATGACAATGTATAATTCTTGACAAAAAGTCTAAACTTGATTTTATTTGGATAATTTTCATGCAACAAAAAGATATCACTCAAATAAGAGCTTAAAAATTCTAATGTAAGTGGTGCATAAATAAAATCCTTCATGGCAATGAATCTCTCCCTCCCAATTCTTTTTAATTGTTCTAAAACTGTATCTCTAAGGCCTACTTGTGCTAGAGCATTCTCATCAATGAAGCAATTTGGAAGAATAGGCCTTAATGAGAATTTTTCCTACCTTTCTTTTCGATCCGGTGTGGTAAGAGGAAAAGGTGGTGGAGAAGGAGTAGTAGGAGGTGGTGGAGCAGTTCCCATTCCTCTTAAAGACCGTGTTGTTGGTGGAGGAGGAGGAGGCGCTGGAGTGGGGGACGTGGGTCAGACTCTTGCTACCACTGAAGCGGCAAATTTCCTTCTCTTGTAGCGTGGAGGCATGGTGGCAAGAGATTGTTGAAGCAGAAGAGGTTGTGGAGAAAAGAGAAAAAAGAAAAGGGAAGTTAAGGGGACTTGAGAGAATGGGGAGCGCTGATTGAGAGAGAGAGAGAGAGAGAGAGAGAGAGAGAGAGGGTTAGGGTTTAAATGGAAGAGAGGCTTAGAGTTTTCCCAGTAATCAAATAGTCAAAGCACGTAATTTTTAAAAAATGGGGTCTAATCCTAGCACCGGTGTGCTAGATGGGACAGCTAGGGCGTGCTAGGCTCTGAACCTTGCTTTTCAATAATGGTACGGGCCGTGCTTAGGTGAACAAGCCCTTTGATCGACATCCTCTTGAAGCACGGGCATGCTGATTAGCACAACTGGTGCGTGCTAGACTCTGAACCTGCAAGGGAAAAATTATTCTTACCTAATATAGATGTGCTGATTAGCATGGCTAGAGCGTGCTAGAAGCTGACTCTGGAAGAATTTTCTTCCCTCAGACAGCATAGGAGTACTATGTAGCATGCTCAAGGCGTGTTAGAGCCTAAACCTCAGCTTTTTCCAATTAGCGTTTAAGCTCTTTTTGAACTCCAATTCATCTGAACAAGATTGTACGAATAATAAAAGAACAAGAATGATTAAAATTTTGGAAGAATGATAAAAAGAAATAACAAAATAATGAAAATAAGAAAGTTTAAAGAAAAAAAACATGGGTTGTCTCCCATAAGCGCTTTTGTTTAACATCGTTAAGCGCGACCCACTGGACCCCTTTAAGATAAGGCCAAAGAGCTCTTCATCGTAAATTCTCAACCTTTAAGCATTGACATTAAAGCTCTCATTGCCTTTTACCAATTCAAAAGCTCCATGAGGAAATATTTCCTTCATTATGAAAGGGCTAGTCCAACGTGAGCATAACTTACCTGGAAAAAGGCAGAGCTTTAAGTTATAAAGCAACACCTTTTGTCCAACTCGTAAATTCCTTTTGATGATCTTCTTGTCATGCCATTGCTTTGTTCTATCCTTGTATATTCTGGCACTCTCATAAGCATGAAGCCTCATTTCATCCATCATATTGAGGTGTAGCAGTCTTCTTTCACCCACTTGTTTGGCATTAAAGTTGAGAAACTTGATTGCCCCATATGCTTTGTGTTCCAATTCTACAGGTAAATGAAAAGCCTTACCATAAACCATTTGATATGGAGACATACCAATTGGAGTTTTGAATGCAGTCCTATAAGCCCAAAGTGCATCATCAAGCTTCTTAGACCAATCTTTTCATGAATGCCCAACTGTAGTCTCCAATATCTTTTTAATTTCTTGATTTGTTACCTCAACTTGCCCACTTGTTTGTGGATGGTATGGGGTACCTATACGATGAATGACACCATATTTTGAAATAAGAGAATCTACATACTTATTGCAAAAATGCTTACCTCCATCTGTGATTATTGCCTTAGGCGTACCATGACGAGTGAAAATATATTTGTTAATGAAATTAATCACACTCTTGGCATCATTGTTAGGAAGAGCTATAGCTTTCGCCCATTTAGAGACGTAGTCCATTGCCACTAAAGATGTATTGGTTAGAATAAGAAGAAGGAAAAGGTCCCATGAAGTCCAAACCCCAAACATCGAAGATTTCCACTTCAAGAATGTTGTTCGATGGCATCTCATGCCGCTTGGAGGTATTCCCTAACCTTTGACAATAATCACAAAGATGAACAAAATTAAAAGCATCTTTAAATAACTTAGGCCAATACAAACCGCTTTCTAGAAAATGTGCCACTATCTTATTTCCTCCAAAGTGTCCTCCACACTCTATTGAATGAAAAAAATGAAGAACACTCTCCATCTCTACTTTCGACACACATCCTCTAAACATTTGGTCACTATAATACTTAAACAAGAAAGGCTCCTCCCAATAATAATAATTAAGATCATGAAAGAACTTTTTCTTTTGTTGATAGGAAAGATTGGGAGGAGTGATTTTGCAAGCAAGATAGTTAACTATATCTGCATACCATGGAGCCTGCATATTTGCTAGAAGAAGAAGATGTTCATGGGGAAAATCTTCATTAATTTGCATCTCTTCTTGCCTTTCTTCCCCAACTCAAGCCTAGACAAGTGATCAACAACAAGGTTCTCAGTTCCTTTCTTATCATGAATCTCCAAGTCAAATTCTGGTAAAAGAGAACCCAACAAATTAGTCTAGGCTTTGCATCTTTCTTTTCTAACAAATATTCAATAGCTGAGTGATTAGTGTAAACTATTATTTTAGCTCCAATTAAATATGCTCAGGAAGACATTAATGCTCCTAAAATGAAAACGTTTTGCCCACCAACCAATGATATTTATATGTCTTTCTACCAGTAGATAAAAAAGAATTTGTGTTCAAATATTGCACAATAACTCAATTCTCTCCAAACTCTTTCTAACCATATATGCATAATTACTATGGATCAAGCAATTTCTTTTAATCAAAAATTCATTTACCTACTCGATGATTCTTATTGATTTATGTTAGTTCTATTCATTTAACTATTTCCTTTAAAATTCCATTGTTTAAATGGGGGATGTCTTACCATTCTAGAATCCTCTAAACGAGGCTAGAAATGGCACTCCCATTTGTTCTTTATTGCTTTATTTACTGATTTCTTCAATTGCTTTCTTTACCGCTTTCTTATGATTGTCATGCATTTATCCATCTTAAATTGTTTTCACTCAACAAAGCATTAACATTTAGGCCAATTATTTGATTGTTTTAAATGGAAAACCTAGTACCAAATCCTTCTTTGGTTTCAATGATTAGTGCATTTTATTCATTTAGACCAACTCCCAGAGTCAAAATTAGGGTTTTCTTTAGATTTTTCCCTCAAAAATAGAAAATGTAAGTGGCGACTCCTTTTCAATAAAAGCAATCAAATTAAATAGGCTCTCACACCATGAATCCAAGTACAATATGAGCATTCCAATTTCATTTTTTGGCATATTAGACTAGGCGCTCGTGTCGGGGCCTCACACCACAGCAATAATAACAATATTGAGCAAATAATCAATAATAAGAATAATGAAAAGTAAAGGTTAAAGCATAATGGAGGAAATGAAAGCATAAATAAAGCATAAAAGGAAATGAAAGCATAAATGAAGCATAAGAGCAATAAAGATAAAAACATAAAGGCATTATAGATAAATAAATTGTAGGAATGAAAAGTAAAGAACTGTAAATGTAAATTGACAGAATGTAAATTAGATTAAACTAAAAGTTGACAAGAATTATGATTCAAGCCTTTGATGTTCTTCCCTTGAAGGTAACAAATACGACCATCACAATCAAAATTCATGTTTCCTATTGATTTAAGTGATTCTTTTGATTCTAGAACATCATCTAAGCCTTAAGGCTGATGCTAGACCCAACAGGACCGATAGAATTGAGTTTAAGCATGAAGAACATGATACATGGTATTCTGGAGAGGAACCATGTGCGTCACATGTAATGGCATGTGCCATTACTCTTGTGGCATGCTCTAGAGCTAGAGTAGAGTGTTCACAAGCCTTTAAACTTGTTGGTTGAGAGGAAGTGGCATGGGCCACTATGTACGGCATGCGCCACTTCTAGGGAATCAAACTACTTTTGAATGATCACGGGTTTCCCTCACATTTAGGCTTCAATAGGTGGATTAAGCCACCAAAACAAAGAAAAAGAGAAGGGAAACACATTAAAGCTCTCAGATATTAGCTTTGGTGGAGAGAATCATAAAACTTAAAAAGGAAATTCGAATTGATTAATTATTTTGTGATTTGTTAGAGATTTAACATGTAACACCCTCCGCCCAGTCCCGTGAGACCCGACGACGGATGCCACATTCGGTGCCGGAGACACCGTCTTAACTTAACATACAAATCATAAAATAAGTGAGACCGAACAGAAACAGAGAAGCACATTCGGTGCCGCGAGACACCGTCTTAACTTAACATTTATAAAAAATAAGACTTATGAATTAGAAGTAATTAAAGTACTTCACAAGTTTACCGCAAGTAATATGTTTTTTTTTTATTAGATAATCATTCCATTCGTTTTCATTCCTCTTTTTTTTTTTTTTTTGAAAATAAGATTGGAAAAATCTTACAGAAATACTGTAATAGATATTCCCCTTTAAAAGCTGCAGCCTCGCCAAACAGGGTGGGGGGGGCGGGGTGTGAAGGTAGCGCGAAAAGTACTCCCGCGCAATGTAAACGTCGCAGTAGAGTTGCTTGAATGGTACATTACAATGGGCATCATAGATCACTATTCATTAAGTTCACGGTGCTAAAGTTCTGGCGCGGAGAAGCAAGTGATTTTCACATTACGTTCAGCGTTCGCGGTACCGCATTAAAATCAGTATACATACTCCAAAAAGTATAATAAAGGAAGAAGTAAAAACTATTATTATAGTAATTTTTACCTGTCGTGACAAAAAAATTACCGGCACTCCACAGCATCCCTGTTCACGATAGGTAACTATTCACAAGACCGGTCGTATAACTATTAACATATAGTAATTTTTTCGGACCAAAATAATACCGACTCCCAGACCGGTAGTACTATTCACAGACCGGTCGTACTATTCACAGACCAGTAAATCACTATCCCTTCATGGTTAATTATACTCAATATCTTCCTCGGATCTAAATCAAATATTATCCCCCTCTCTCTAGCACCATTCATGACCCGATAAAATAATATCATTTTAAGATTCGAAAATTTTGGAGCGTTACATAACATGGAATGATTAGTGATAATTTTGATTAATGATGATAAACTTAAAGATTTGTGACATAAAACTTATTTCTAACCTAATTTCTCAAGTTTATTTAGGAAAATGGCTTTTCTCAATCACCAATAAAAGCTACAATCACAAACCCTATGAAATGTGGGGTATTTATAGGCAAATGAGAAATGAAAATCCTAATTTTTAAGGCCTAGGTGGCAAACACCACTGATGGGCCCTAAAAATTAGCCTACCCATTTTTCGCGAAATCAGGCCGGGTGGCATGCAAATTGAGGCAGTGCACTAAGGAGCAAAGCGAACGCACCCGTGATGCTTCCCGGGCCCTATTTCAACATGAAATTGTTGGAAATCTGAAAACGTGAAAATGACGCAATGCCTTACTTATCTCAACCTTGGATCACCAATCTAAGAATCAGTCTCATTGGAACTTGAATTCCATTCAACAAGGTTATCATAGCAAGAAGCTCCTTTTCAGTGGTGGTATAATTTAACTGCGCATCATTCAATGTACGACTAGCATAATAAATGACATGCAACCTCTTTTCTTTTCTTCGCCTAAGAACAACTCCTATAGCATGATCACTAGCATCACACACTGAATGAAACAACTCCCGGTATAGCATATTCAATGTACGACTAGCATAATAAATGACATGCAACCTCTTTTCTTTTCTTCGCCTAAGAACAACTCCTATAGCATGATCACTAGCATCACACATTAGTGTAAAAGGAAGGTTCCAATCTGGTGTAGCAATGAAAGGAGCTGAAATCAATTCCTTCTTCAATCTATTAAAAGTATTCAAACAATCTTTGTTAAAATCAAAAGGACCATCTTTAACCAATAAATTATAAAGAGGTTTTGTAATTTTTGAGACATACTTGATAAATCTCCTATACAAACTTGCATGACCAAGAAAACTCCTCAACCCCTTCACTGAATTTGGAGGTGATAGCTTTTCAATTACCTCTATGTTGGCTTTGTCCACTTCAATCCCCTTTTCTAAGACTTTATGCCCTAAAACAATACATTCACTAACCATAAAATGACTTTTTTCCTAATTCAAAACAAGGTTAGTGTCGTCACTTCAATGAATTTTTCAACCATGTTAGAAAATATGGACATCATACACCTTTGAAAAGTCGCAGGTGCATTACACAACCCAAAAGATATTCTCTTATAAGCAAAAGTACCATAAGGTCAAGTGAAAGTAGTCTTCTTTTGATCCTCGGGAGCTATGGTTATTTGAGAATACCTTGAATAACAATCTAGAAAACAGTAGTAAGTATATCATGCAAGTCTTTCAAACATTTAATCAATAAAAGGTAAAGGGAAGTGATCTTTACGTATCGTTTTGTTCAACTTTCGATAATCAATACACACACATCAACCTGTGACAATTCTAGTAGGAATCAACTCATTATTTTTGTTAGAAATAATTATCATACCTCCTTTCTTCGGAACAGTTTGACGAGGCTTATCCAACTACTAGCCGAGATTGGATAGATAATGCCAACATCCAAAAGCTTAATGATTTTAGCTTTGACTACTTCCTTTATATTTGGATTTAATCTCCTTTGATCCTTAGTTGTAGGCTTGTAGTCTTCTTCCATCAAAATCTTGTACATGCACACACTTGGATTGATCCCCTTTAAATCTGAAATCGACCACCCTAAAGCTTTCTTATGCTTTCCTAGAACCTGCAATAACCTTTTCTCTTGATCAGGTGATAAGTGAGAAGAAATAATAACAAAAAAGAATTGTTCTCACCTAAAAATGCATACTTTAAATGAGAT